CTGTGGATTCCTTCTGTGGACATTTCACACCAGGGCAACCCAACAATATGTGGCTTTCAGTGTCTGGCAGCTTCTACTTGGTGTGATGTTTTCAAAATCCATCCCCGCTGCAGCACACAGCAGCACTGCATCCTTGTTTTGGCTGAGTAGTAGTCCATCGTGTGAACGGACCACATTTCACCTGTCCCTCCATCTGCTGATGAACAACTGGATAGCCAACGAAGACTTATTTGGTGTCAACATGTGCCAGATGGGAACTCAAGGCAAGCGAGGTCCCTGCCCTCACTGGGTCAGAATAGCAGGCTCTGAAGCCAGGCCTTTGGGTTGGGAATCCCTCTGTTGTCCCATCTGTAAAATGGGAAACTTCTTTCTCTTAGGGCAGTGGTGAGGCTTTAGCAAGTGGACACACCTGAAAGACCCCGAACAGAGCTTGGCAGGCATCATGGGTGGGGAAGAGATGATAAACGGCAATGTTTGCACAGCGCGATTAACACCAGGAAGAAACAAACAGGCGCTGACAGAGAGTTGCCCAGAGGTGCAGGCTCTTCGATGAGGTCCGGTAGGCCTGAGTCAGTCTTAATTCAAGACCCAAACGATGAGGAGGAACCAACTAAGCCGATCATCAGGGGAGCGGGGATCCTGGTGCAAAGATGCGGAACAAAAAGGCCCGCAGAGGTCAGGATGGGGATCCCTGATAGGAGGACGCCGGCCGGGACTGCGGGCCACAGACGTCCCCTGAAATTTCCTATCAGCCACGTTACAAAGACAGTCTAAAGAAATAGGTGAAATTAATTTTAATAATATATTGTGGAACATTTCACCTAATATATCCAAAATATGATCTTCTGGACATCTGATCAGTGTGAAAAAAAAAAGTTGATGAGATCTCCTGCATCCTTTTCCTTTTTCCTCCTAAGACTTTGAAACCCGGAGAGGATTCATGTGTCCAGCACATCTTGGTTTGTTTGAGTATATTCACGTGCCCGACAGCCTCGCTGGGGGCATGGGGGGCGGCCCCCCATGATGGATGGCGCAGAGAAAGGACCTGTGAGTGGGTGAGTGGGGCTGGAGTGTTGGGACCACAGGGAGAGGAGGTGTGACGTGACATCAAAGAGTGTGACAGGGCCAGATGGTAGGGGTCCTGAGGGTCTTGGGAAGGACCCTGGAGATGCTGCAAGAGGGTTTCGGGTCTGAGAATGACAGCATGTGGTCTGCACGTGAAACAGACAGAAGAGGCTCAGATGGAGAACAGACTCTGGGAGGCAAGAGTGAAGGCGAGGGGACAACCTGGGAGGTGGAGGATGATGGTGGCCTTGGACGTCGGGGGTTGACAGTGGACACAGAAGGGCTGACCGCTTCCATGGCGGAGGAGGGCCTTTATAAGGTACCGGCTGGCGTGTGCACACAAGATGTCACCGCTGCTGCCAGCGAGGAGGTTTCCTGATATTGGGGACCACGTCAGTTTCACTCACCCCTCTCTCCCTAGCGCCTGGCCCAGACCCCAGTGAACAATCAGCGGGTGCTGACAGAGCCCCACCCGGTTCTGAGCCCCCGTCGATCACTTGGAGGCCGTGCGCACTGAAGCAGATTGCTCATGCTTCCCCAGGTGGTCTGCTGTTCTCCTGCCTGACTAATCATCACAGCCTGGGCGATTAATAATGAATCTTTGCCTGAAGGGGCCTCTCAGTAGCCTTAATCCACTGTCACATCAACTCAGCAATGTGCCTTTGGTAAGAACCCAGAGTGAGGAAGGGCACAGGAGTGGATGCCTCTGTCTGCATTCCGCCCCAGAAGGTGCTGGACCTCCTCTTGCCCACCCCTCATCACTTCCCCACCGGGGGTCCCTGTGGGGAGAGGCCACATCCAAGGGCTCCAGGTCCCAGGGCATCCCAAGGTTTCTGCAGGTTACCATGGAGATGGGATGTCAGGTCTCCATGGGGACAGGACATTCAGAGTTCCTGAGCAAATGACAGTTACGGGAAGAGGGGCTGAAAGACCCGGGAACCAGACAGTGTGGGCATATCAAAGCTCTAAACAGGCTGGGAAAGAAACTGCAAGAGAGGCTGCAAGAGGAGAAGCAGCGGGGGTCACTGGCTGGGAGGGTGCAGGGCCCAGGGGGCTCGGGCGTTTCCAGGATAACCGAGAGCCAAGCTCCAGCAAGCGAGAGAAATCAGGCTCCAGTTGTGCAGCACTGTTATGGTGGGGAGGGAGGTCAGCAGCTCCCCTGAAGCTCCCAGCCTGCCCTGGAGACCCCACAGGCCTTCCCAGGTAACGACTCCCATCTGCTGATCTCAACGGTTGCTTCCGAGGCTGTCTACAGCGTGCCTGAGCATCCCTAGCACCAGGCCGGGTCTATTTGGGCAGGAGAGTTTGACCACAGGGACGGTAAGTGAAATCTCCACAAAGAGACCAGGAAGCTGGTGACACTTTCATGGGATCACCCTCCACTTGGGACATGCAGCTGTTTTGTAAGCTCGAGGAATTTCGTATTTTCCCTTTCATCCTGGGTCATTTGGGCCACTGGGTTTTTATGGGCTGACTTATAAACCAGGGAAATCAACCCTGAATATTCATTGGAAGGAGTGATGCTGAAGCTCCAACACTCTGGCCACCTGATTCCAAGAGCCGACTCACTGGAGCAGACCCTGATGCCGGGAAAGACTGAAGGCAAAAGAAGGGGATGGCAGAGGATGAGATGGCTGGATGGCAACACCGACTCAGTGGATGTGAATCTGAGCAAACTCCAGGAGATGGTGGAGGACAGAGGAGCCTGGCGTGCTGCAGCCCATGGGATCTCGAAGAGTTGGACACGATTTAGCGACTAAACAACAACACTGAACAACAAGTATGTTTAGCCAACAAAAACAGGTGAGGGGTACAGGATGGATGCGGTCAAGCTGATTGGATGCCTGGGTCACAGCAGGACCCTTCAGAGCTTTTGTGTGTGTATCTCCTTAAGGGAGATGCAGCATTCACCTTCCCCACGCTGTCTGACCAGAGAATCTTTATTTCATGAATCAACGCCCAGGGCTAGTCTTTGGCGGAACACATTTTGACAAACACCATCTCAGGACACACGTCCACCAACCTGGGGAAGCCTGATGAACTCATGTCCACTTGAGGACTTTCTGCATCTGTTCAGGAGGCGGGAACGTGTGAGTGGCCTCAAGCCACAGTCTCCCCAGGGCAGCTCAGGTAAAAAGCACGTGGCCGATTCTTACTCTCAGATGAGAACACCCCACCTCTGTGGTGGGGTCATGTCGCTAACGGACACGCTCAGTGGTGACATTCCCTTGCATCTGGTTACACTTTGGCGTGGCGTTTGCTGACGAGATGAGCGAAGGAACCGGTCAGGGAATGAGTCTCCCCAGCAACCCAGTTCAATTCCCTTTTTAGGGGGTGAACCTCTGCTGGGTGGGCACCCCATTCATTTCACCTCAGTTCTTGTCGGGTGGGATTTCCGAGGGTGGCATTCTCTGAACCTCGTCCCAAATGGTGGAATGGGCAAGGAGGCTGAGGCCATGCTTGGCAAGGATGTGTGTGCAAAGCAGAGGCCCAGGCTTGGAGACAGACAGTCAAAGTCCACCATGACCAGTGGGGTAACGGGTGCAAGCTATTTCCCCATCTTGGGCATCTCTGAGGCCGAAATCACAACAGCTCCCGACCCTGGTGTGGTGTATTAGCATTCTTACAGCATTGACTGCAACGGCTTCCAGGCCAGAATGCCTATGTGTGCATAACGGTACACCCGCCCCCCACCCCCAGGAAATGACATCAGTATCTCCCATCCCTCAACACAAGAAACCCACTCTCTGGCTGGGGAGGCAAACGGATACACCAGAGCAACCAGGAAACAGTAAGACACTTACGCGCTCATCTGCTCGGATTAACAACCAGCACGTCCTGGTGGTAACTTCTGACTAATTTTTCATGAAAACCTTGAGGGTGAGATAATAGAATTTGGATCAACTGTTTCTCCTGATAGGCGAACTCACAAATTGTTGAGCCATTACATGAAGGGTACTGACAACCACTTGACTTTATAAAGGTCTGTTGGATAAATAAATAAACCTTGGGTGGGGTCTCAAGCGGTGACACCAAAGAGCTCATTTCTGGCTGTACTCTGTGCAACATTTTTGGCACGAAGTGAGTGGAGACACAAAGGAGAATCTCATTGGGTCCGAAGGTCACACAGAGTTGGAAGAGATAGTTAATATGATAAATGTGCTCATCAATATTCAGAGATTTGACAGGCAAGACTATATGGCCCAAATCACAAGATGGAATTCAACAGACTTACATGCAAAGTGTTGAGTTTGGCCTCAAAAATGTGTGCAAGGACAGGATAAAGGAGAACTGTCATGGCAGAGGCTTGTGAAAGAAAAAACACAAAAAAAAACATTGTGGGCTTTTTTGATTAACTTAATGTTCAAAGTGACATAATAATGTAAAACAGGCACTTAAAAGACATAAGACTAGGGGCTTCCCTGGTGGCTTAGTGGTAAAGAATCCACCCGCCAACGCAGGAGACATGGGTTTGATTCCCGGGCTGGGAAGATACCCTGGAGAAGGAAATGGTGACCCACTCCAGTATTCTTACCTGGGAAATCCCATGGGCAGAGGAACCTGGTGGGCTACAGTCCACGGGGTCGCAGAGAGTCAGACATGACTTAGCAACAAAAAATGTAAGATTGTACGAAGAAAGAAAATTCTGTGTGTGATGCAATTTCTCCCTTTCCTCCCCTGCCTAAGCCAGTGGACGAGAAACTGTGAAGGATCTTTTAATAACCAGAGGCTGAGAGGGGCTTCCCAGGTGGAACCCAGGTGAAGAATCCGCCTGCCAATGCAGGAGACCCGGGTTCCACCCCTGGGTTGAGAAGACGCCCTGGAGCAGGAAATGGCAGCCCAGTCCAGGACTCTTGCCTGGGAGATCCCATGGACAGAGGGGCCTGGAGGGCTAGAGTCCACGGGGTCGCAAAGCGTGGGACACGCCGGAGTGACTACGCACAGCCCAGAGACTGGGAGAGAAGAGATGGGCCCAGATGGCAGCACGGAGGGCCACTTCCGAGCTTGAGAGGGCCAGACACAGGAGAGGCCCTAGCGTGCTGAGTCAGAGCCCAGCCCAGGGCCGGCGTGGCCGGGCTGGCCGAACCCCTGCCAACCCCCTCCGCCTCCCACAGCCAGGCTGCACACTCTGGGGACGTCTTCCCGCAGGTGAGAGCTGTGACTCTGGGCTTGGTGGGCAGGGGGGCGGGAGAGTGCCTGGGAGAAGGGGCGGGTTCGCAGGTGAGACCCAGGAGGAACAGGCAGCCTCAGAGCCGAGAAAAGCATCTTTCCCCACAGCACACCTGGGCTCACCCCTCTCACACGAGAAGGCTGCAGTGGGCAGATGCAGCCGCGGCAGACAGATCACGGAGAACAATCGTTCAGTCGGGAAGGCGTGTCCCACTCTGCAGCCCCATGGACTGGAGCTTGCCAGGCTTCCCTCTCCTCCACTATTTCCCAGAGTTTGCTCAAACTCATGTTTGAGCCAGTGACACACATCCAACCATCTCATCCTCTGTCGTCCCCTTCTTCTCCTGTCCTCAGTCTTTCCCAGCATCAGGGTCGGTTCCAATGAGTCAGTTCTTCGCATCAGGTGGCCAAAGTATTGGAGCTTCAGCTTCAGCATCAGTCCTTCCAATGAATATTCAGGGTTGATTTCCTTTAGGATTGCCTGGTTTGATCTCCCTGCTGTCCAAGGGACCCTCTGAACAATGTCCAATGTCAATACAGCTCCCACCCCAAGAAACACCAGACCTTCAAGGAAAGCCGGCACCACTACAGAGAAACAACCACATGCAACAAACAGAAGCCGTACCAGGGAGGCAGTTCACAGAGCCAGCAGAACAAATCTCTAGACCATGCATACCTAACGTCCCCAGAAAGATGCAAGCGATGTGGGCTCAGCCAATGGAGATTTAAAAGATCACTGGAACGGAAATCAGCAGGTGGACTGTATTTGCAGAATGGATACAGCCCACGACTGAATCACTGAGCTGGAAGATGGTATTGAGAAATTCTCCCAGGATCCAGGGGGGAAAAAAAGAGAGGCCGGAGAGAATGAAAAAAAGTTGAGAGAATGGAAGATGGATCCAGACATTCCAGTATTTCTCTTAGCAATGATTCAGAAGGGGGAATGAAAAGAATGTAGAAGACAAGCTCAAAGACGTTCTAAGGAAATAATTTCCAGAATTGGAAAAGGACACGCATCCTCAGCTTAAAAGGACACACATGACTGCCGGGAAGATGCGAGAAGAAAGACCACATCTATTCACAACGTGAGAAGCCTCAGAACACAAGGCTCACAGGAGAAATCCTAAAAGACGGACGAGATATACTGCCTACAAAGAAACAGAATCAGACTGACTAACTGGCAATGCCAGACACAAGAGTGGAGGCGTTATCTTTCAAGTTCCAAGGAAACATTATCTTTAAGCTAGAATCTATATTTAGCCAAACAGTGACTCAAGTGTAAACTAGGCAAAAGCATTTTTCACACATGCAAGGACTCAAAATATTTACCATCCACAGACCTTTATTTAAACAATCACCAAATGATGCACGTCAGCACGGGGGAAAGAAATTCCAAGGGGAAAAATGAGGATATAAGAAACAACAGCGGAATCTCCCTGGTAGCCCAGTGGTTAAGAATTCACCTTCCAACACAGGGAACGAGGGATCGATCCCTGGTCTGGGGAACTAAGATTCCACGTGCTGCGAAGCAGCGCAGCCCACGCGCTCTGCAGGCCACGAGCCACAGCGAGCGTCCTCGGTCCGCAAGGAAAGATCCCACATCATTTATGCACGGAGATCCTGTCGCCACAGCCAAGACTCGACGCAGCCAAACACACAAACACGTACATAAGTACATACATAATGTTTAATTTAGAAAAAAGAAACAATGATACATACCTGATATGATCTGAATTGTGTTCCCCAAATTTATACGTTGACAGCCAAATGCCCTGTACCTCAGGAGTAAGTGTATTTTATTTGAATACAAGGTCTTTAAAGAGGTGATTAAGTTAAAAAGAGGTCGTTAGGGTCCTAATAAGGATGGCAAAAGACATTCCACCCAAATAGTGACCCAAGAGAGCTGGGGTAACTGTGCTGCTATCAGACAAAATAGATTCTAAGTTTAAAAATATTACAAGAGCGGAAGGATTTCATATATTGATAAAAGGGTCAATCTATCGATTCAAATAACAGTTACGCAAATATATACCTCTAACAACAGAGCCCCGAAATATATGAAGCAAATATTGACGGAATTAAGGGAAGACATATCAGTTCTACAATAATATTTGGAGACTTCAACAGCCCACTTTTAATAATGAATAGAACAACCAGACAGGTGGTCAGTAAAAAACAATGATCAGCAAACCATGACAGAAAAAAACAGAACAAAGAAATCCTGATGAATTCTGCAAAAAGGAAGAAGATCACAATAGACCTTTGGAAAAGAAAAATACAGATTAAGGTGTAAGGATAAGTCCCACGCATCATAAATTTCCCTCCTCTGAGGATCTTCCGAACCCAGGGACTGAACCCAGGTCTTCTGCACTGTAGGCGGATTCTTCACCAGCTGAGTCACCAGGGAAGCCGATCATAAATTTTTTTTTTCCATTTATTTTTATTAGTTGGAGGCTAATTACTTTACATCATAGCAGTGGTTTCTGTCATACATTGAAATGAATTAGCCATGGATTTACATGTATTCCCCATCCCGGTCCCCCACCCACCTCCCTCTCCGCCCGATCCCTCTGGGTCTTCCCAGTGCACCAGGCCCGAGCACTTGTCTCACAACAAATATAAAAGGGTTAACAAGAACATTGAGAGCAAAGGCATTAAAAGGGACAAAGGGGACTGCACATTATTAGGAGGAGCTGTCAGCTACCGTGAACGTTTCTGGGTCTCACAACACAGCTTTGAGGCACATAAAGCAGCCCTGAGAGAAACAAAGAGAAAACGGCAAAGACGCCGTCACAGCCGGAGACATCGTGAGGCCCCTATGGAGGGGACAAATAAGCACGGTTACCGAGGAGTCAGAATGGTTAACATGTTTGTGCTAATGGCTCCACAGAACTCTGTAGATAGGGAAGAAAAATTCTTTTCAAATACAGGTGGAAATTTTGCAAAAATTCACCATGTGTCAGCCACAAGAAATTCAAGCAATAATGAGAAGCAGAAATAACATATGGCATGTTGGCTGATGGAAATGTAACATTTTTTTAAAAAATTACAAAAGAACACCATCTTCAATCTATATACCAAAGAAATATAAAAACATAAATTAAAAGTTATTTTTAAAGCAACAATAATGACATCATAAACCGGTAGAATATGAGTTCAGTAAGGTGGCTACGAAAGTCAACTTAAAACTCTCCAGATATCAAAACACTGAGAAGTAATAGGCTGCAGTGGCACAGTGACAGATAATCAGAACAATGAACAAAAGCCCGGTAAACTCACCTCTGTGCAGAAAATTAATGCCTGATTAGGGCTTTGTTTCAACTCAACACAGAGATAAAAGGAGTGTTCAATAACTGTTGGGATAATCTGCTAACAATTTGGAGAGAATGATATCCCTACTTTGCTCCTGTGGCGAGGTAATTTGCAGATAGATTAATGACTTAAAAATGAAATAATGAATTCTAAAAGTTTTAGAGGAAACAAAGTTTAAAATATGCTTATAACCTTGGGATAAGATAGGCCTTCTTAAACAAGCCATAATATGCTAATGTCATTTGGGCGAAGATTGATGAATGTGAGTACATCATAATTTAAAACTTCTGTGTGATGGAAAATAGTGCCACAAAGTTAAAGTGTAAGCTATGTTCTAGGAAAACATCTGTAATACGTGAAATAAAGATTAATGTGCAGAACGACAATAAGAAAAAGGCAAGGAATACGGTAGGAGAGGAAATTAGGAAAATGAACCAGCAAGTCGTAGAATTTTATGTGATCAATAAACATGAGCCAATACTTCTTCAGCTCAGGAATAATCAGGGGAAAACCCGAAACAGTAAGACTTCGTTCTGCACCTGAGTTTTGTCAGCTATAAAACAGGAACAATAAAGGACCGCACCTCATAAGACCGTTAGGGGATTAAATGAGTCAACGCATACGAGTAAAGTTCTTGGGGCAGTGTCTGGAATGCAGTCAACAATCGGCATTAGCGACGATTAACTTTAGCACACTGCAAGAATCTGAGCAGCAAAAAATTTCAGTATTGGCAAAAATAAAGTTTTGACAAGGGTGTGAGAAAAAAAATACTCTCGTATTGCCTTGGTGAGAATATAAACTAGTCCAGCCAGTTTCTGTGGGCAATGTGGCAACGTCCGTGAACACACACAATATATGTCCCCTACACCTGGCCATCACCGACTCAATGGACGTGAGTTTGAGCAAACCCGGGGAGACAGTGAAGGACAGGGAAGCCCGACGTGCTTCCCCTCCGAGGGGTTGCAACGACTTAGTGCTTGAATAGCAAATACCTGGCAATTCCGTGTCGGCACCGAAGCTAGAGGAACATCCCCCTCTCTGCACAGGAGGTATGTGCAGAAGAGGAAGACCAAAGATTGGGGGGAAAACCCCTAAATGCTCATCAAATGAGGACTGGTCACCTTAAACACGGTGCTTTTAGATAGTGCAAGACCCTGCCGGTGTCGATGAAAATGAACTGGAGCTTACACTAGCGTGGGAGAAGCTCTAAGACGTATTTTTAAGGGAAGAAAACAAGTTGCAGAACAGTTAAGTGTTGCATGATGCTACTCAGGAAAACCACCACAAAACTAAAACACGTTCCCGTGCGACGCACACGTGCCCAGAGAGAGGTCTGGAAGGCAACGCACCAGACCGACAGCCAGGGGAGTGGACCGGCACGGATCTGCTTGGCAAGGAAAGCTTAACAGCTTTGTCTACATTCGTCTCCCTTGTGGCTCAGCTGGTAAAGAATCCACCTGCAAGGTGGGCGACCTGGGTTCGATCCCTGGGGTGGGAAGATCCCCTGGAGAAGGGAAAGGCTACCCACTGCAGTATTCTGGCCTGGAGAATTCCTGGACTGTCTAGTCCATGGGGTCACAAAGAGTCGGACATGACTGAGTGACTTTCACTTCACTACATTACTTGAAAGGTTTAAAAGAAATGTTTTCATGCATGAATTTTTAGAAATAAAAATAAATAAGGTGTAACCCTAACCCTACAGAGTCTTCCTGGGGCTTCCCAGGTGGTGAAGTGGTAAAGAATCTGCCTGCCAATGCAGGAGACATAAGAGATGCAGGTTCCATCCCTGGGCTGGGAAGATTCCCTGGAGGAGGAAATGGAAATGCCCTCCAGTATTCTTGCCTGGAAAATTCCATGGACAGAGGAGCCTGACAGGCTATAGTTCATAGATTCACAAAGAGATGGAAATGACTGAGCAACTGAGCATGCACACACACACACACACACAACACGACAGTTTTCCTGGCATCCCTACAAGGTCGGACCAGATCAAAGTTCCTTCCAGCTCTAAGAATCCATGATTTCATCCTTCTTACAGGAAGTCAAATTCACATAACATTAACCATCTTCAGTGTACGACTTAGTGGCATTTAACACATTGCACAATGCCGTGCAACTGTCACTGTTTACTTAGTTCTGAACCTGTTCAGCATCCCTAAAGGAGACCCCAACCACTCAGCAGGCAGGCCCTTCCCCCAGCCTGTGCCAACCACCAGTCTGCTTTCTCTTAGTCTCTTTGCAGCCGTCCATTCTGGACATTTCATATCAGTGGGAACCCACAGGAAATGGCCTTTTGTGTCCGGCTTTTTTCACCCAGCGTGATGGTTTCTCCCCATGGTAGCTCGTGTCATAACATCACCGCTTTCCATGGCTGAATGGTGGTCCGTCGTGTGGCTTTGCCACACTTGGATTGTCCCTTCACCTGCTAACGTGTATTTGGGTTCGTTCCACCTCCGGGCCACTCCAACTCCACTGTTTTGTGAGTAGTGTTGTTGTGAACATCAGTGTGCAGGATTTGCTTGCATGCCTGTTTTCAGTTCTTTTCGGTACCTACCCAGGAGCGGAATTGCTGGGTCACATGGTTGTTCAGTCGCTCAGTTGTGGCCAGCTCCTTGGCACCCCATGACTGCAGCACTCCAGGCTTCCCTGTCCTTCACTATCTTCTGGAGTTTGCTCAAACTCATGTCCTTTGAGTTGATGAAGGTCACAAGGTAATTCTATCTTTAACCGTTTGAGGAACTGTCAAGACTTTTTCACATCATGTGCACCATCTTACATTCCCACCATGATTCATTTTCCTTTTAAGATTCTTTTTTTTTATGTGGACCATTTTTAAAGCTTTTATTGAATTTGTTACAATACTGCTTCTGTTTTATGTTTTGATATTTTGGTTGTAAAGCATGTGGGATCTTAGTTCCCTGGCCAGGGATCGAACCTGCACCCCCTGCATTGGAAGGCGAGTTTTAACCACTAAACCACCAGGGAAGTCTCCAAGATTTAGAAATGCAGAGAAGGCAGGCAGGAGAGCGGAGGAAAAGGCAGAACAGGTTTCCTGGGCTTGAGTAGATGCAGGATGAGGGGGGTATGCTCGGGCTGACAATGGATCAGGCAGGGGGCATGGGCCGGGGGGAGTCGCAGGTGGGAGCAGGGGGCCCTGTGGCTGGGTGAGGGACTGGGTACATCGAGTCTGGGAGCTCACCTGAGCAGGGCTCTGAGCATCCACGAGAGACGGGCAGTGAGGGGCAGAGCGGCCTGGAGCGGGGGCGGCGGGCCTCGTGATGTCATCCCCGGGTCCTGAGCCCTCAGTGCAGAGGCGGGGCACCCAGGCCTCTCATCTGTCAGCTTCCAACAGCCATAGAAGAGATGTGCCAGGCGGGGAAGCTACCAAACGAGGGAGCATCAACTGAACCAGGGAATTAGCCAGCTCCTGCTTCTCCGCTCTCCGACTTTAAAATGAACTCCCAGAAGCTCCCACAGAGGGTCGGGTGAGCCAATTAAAAAAAAAAATTAGCTGAGCACCACGCCCGCCGAGGTGCTCTGGGGGATGCCAGTGGCGGGGGTGGGGCGGGGAACAGCAGGGACCCTGACTGCTGCCCCCGCAGCTAAGCCTCGGCTCTGCGCCGGGACCCAAGGGCTCTGCAGGTGAGAAAGGGCTCTGCGGGGCCCAGGAGTCTGCGCGGCGGCCAGTGTTTCCCGTTGCACCGTGATTTCTGGGCTCGTGGAGGACAGGGAGGCCTGGCATGCTGCAGTCCACAGGGTCATAAAGGGTCAGACACGACTGAGCGACTCAACAACAACGTGATCTCTGGCGCCCAGGGGGAGCACCTGGGTCCCCGCCTTGGCTTGGCACAACGCCTTGGGTTGGCGGGGGGTTGGGAGGGGAGGGAAGGGTCAGCCTCCTGGTTGAGTTTGCGGGGGATGCCCTGACGACACACCAGAGGCTTCCACAACAGGGATTTACTGGCTCACAGTCCTGGCGGCTGGAAGTCCAAGGTCAGGAGGTCAGCAGGGTGGGCTCATTCTGAGACCTCTCTCCTTGGCTTGCAGACGGCCACCTCCCTGCGTCCTCACGTGGTCGCCCCCCCCACCCCCCATGTGAGTCTATGTCCTGACCTCCTCTTCTTATAAGGACACCAGTCCGATTGGATGGGGGCCACCCTAGAGACCTCATTTTACCTTAATCATCTCTGTAAAGACCCCAGCTCCACCCAGAGCTAGAGGGATTCACAGTCAGAATTGTAACATATGAATTTGGGGAGGGGGGAACATGACTCAGTCCATAACACCCAACAGGTCAGGGACCTGGGGCATGGGGCGGCTCCCAGGTCAGCCCCCTCCTCACCAGGCGGACCAGGTCCAGACTCGGGTTCCAGAACGCATAGTGACCTGGACACCAGGTCCAGACTCGGGTTCCAGAACGCATAGTGGCCTGGACACCAGGTCCAGACTCGGGTTCCAGAACGCATAGTGACCTGGACACCAGGTCCAGACTCGGGTTCCAGAACGCATAGTGGCCTGGACACCAGGTCCAGACTCGGGTTCCAGAACACATAGTGACCTGGACACCAGGTCCAGACTCGGGTTCCAGAACGCATAGTGACCTGGACACCAGGTCCAGACTCGGGTTCCAGAACGCATCTGCGGAAGTCACTCAAGGCATCGAGACCCTGCAGCTGACAACGGCGACACCAGGCGCTGACTCACCACCCGCTGCAACCGCGAGTGCCAAACCACCTCGCAGCACCGCTAATGAGGACTCACAGCATCTCGGTGGAACCTGAGGTGACTCATCCACTTGGCCGATGAGAAAGCCACAGTGCCGGAGAGCCGAGCACTGTGCGCACGGCTTCCACTTAGCAACGTTCGGACACGTTAAGGCCCATTTCTTAGAAACAAGTAAAACCAAGATGCAGCGGGAGACGGATATGAAATGTCAGGCAGCCAGAGTCTTGTTTCACTCAACTCACTTCACTTGGGACGGAAGGGTGCCCCCCCCCCCCCGCTCTGAGATCAAACGCGGTTTCGGAGATCAAGACCCGAGTGTCTGGGGAGAAAGACCCGGGGATGGAATTCACGGCGTCACTGTCTCGTGTCTCCTGTCAGTCCAGGGTCCCCTTGAGCTCCTGGACCAAGGGATGGAGTTGAGTGTGATGACATTGTCCCCTGAGGCCTAAGCTAGGCCAGCAAAACACTGGGAGCTTCACCTGAATCCAGGATACCAGGAAGACAAAGTTGCAGGGTGTTTTCAACACGTCCAGGCATCTGACCGTGAAACGACACGGTGCTGTTGTAACACCAGGTCACTGACACTAAACGTGCAGGGATCTCCTCTCTACCCTCCAGGGCTGCCTCTGATTCTCCAGATGTTCCCCCAGACCCAGGCTGAGAACCTCTCAAGGTCAAGGGCTGTTTCTCGCCATCGTCTGGGTACACCTTAGTATCTCCTGCGAAGGTTTTACAACCCCAAGCTCAGAGCCCTGCCCCAACTAAGGATGTAATTAGCGCTGGTATTGCTCAGGTGTTGTTCTTTCTAAGCTGACCCGCTAACTTCCAGGCTGAGAACTTCTGCACCTAAAGATCCTGGCTTGATTACCGGGGACCCAGGTGGAGAAGGGCAGGGAGGCAGGATGAGAAGAGGAACAGAAAGTGGGAGGGGCCCAGATGAGACCCGAGGTGCCAACCAGGGCCTTTCAGTGTTCATTGCATGTATGAATCACCCACGTGATGCCTGCTCCTTGGATGAAAAGCTATGACAAAGCTAGACAGCGTGTTAAAAAGCAGAGACATCACTTTGCTGACAAAGTTTCATATAGTCAAAGCTATGGCTTTTCCAATAGTCACATATGGATGTGAGAGTTGGACCATAAAGAAGGCTGAGCTTCAAAGAATTGATGCTTTCGAACTGTGGTGCTGCAGAAGACTCTTGAGAGTCCCTTGGACAGTAAGGAGATCAAACCAGACCATCCTAAAGGAAATCAGCCCTGAATATTCATTGGAAGGACTGATGCTGAAGCTGAAGCTCCAATACTTTGGCCACCTGATGGGAAGAGCTGACCCACTGGAAAAGACCCTGATGCTGGGAAAGATTGCGGGCAGGAGAAATGGGTGACCGGAGATGAGATGACTGGATGGCATCACTGACTAAGTGGACATGAGTTTGAACAAACTCTGGGAGATAGAGAAGGACAGGGAAGCCTGGCATGCTGCAGTCCATGGAGTTGAGAACAGTCGTACATGACTGAGCAACGAACACTTTCACTTTGCTTTTTCAGACATGATGCTCTTGCACCCTAAACAGGCTACAATATAGTGTAAACATGACTTTTATATTCACTGGGAAATGAAAAAATTCATACGGCTTGCTTAATGAGATGGTTTGGAACTGAACCTTCAGTATGTCTAAGGTGTGCCTGTATAGCCATTTCTGTTAAAAAAAAAAATGTGTAGAAAAAGCACTTGATAAAATTCGACATGTATTCTTGACAAAATATATTGGAATGGAAAGAAAATAAACATTCTTAACCTAGTTAAGTATATCCACAAAAATCCTCTAGCAAACACAATAGTTAAAGGTAAAGCTTTGAAAGCTTTTTCTTCAAGATTGAGGCCAAAACACAGATGCTCAAGATTACTGCTATCATTCAATGCTTTATTGGAGATGCTAGCCAGCACAGTGAAAAAAATAAATGAAGAAAAGAAAAAGAAATTAAAAGATCTAAAAAGTGGAAAGGAAGCAAAAACATTGTCATAACTTAAAAATGATATTATCTACATAGAAAAACCAAAAAGATGAGATATTATTATTTAAAAGTTTAGTATAGTTATGAATCCAAGGTTAAATATAAAAAAGATCAACTGTGTTTCTCTACATTAGTAACAAACATAAATGCAAAGTTTTAAAAGATATTCTTTATAACAGCAGTAAAAAACGAAAGATATTAGGAATAAGTTGAACAAAAACTGCAGAAGACTTTTATAGAGAAGATGTTAAAACTTTATTGAAAGACATTATAGAAGACCTTTAAAAATGAGGAGATAAACCAAGCTTGCAGGTGAAAAAACTTATCATAAAGATGCCGGTCTCCCCCCAAATTGATCTACAGATTCAATACGATTGAAATTCCAACAGAGTGTTTAAGATCTGAAGCAAAGCCATAAGTGGTAAGGATGGTAGCTGTTCCTGAAATTCCACTCTCTCGTCCTCTGGGCTCAAGGACTGAGATCTCAGTGCGACGTGAACAAAAGCGCTGTGCTCTGCTTCTGGGCTGGGTCTGTAATAAACCTCCCCGTGTGCACGCCTCTGTCCTTCTGCTGCCTGGATGCAAAAACAGTGTAATCCAGGCTCAGAGGGACACACAATGGAAAAAGCCCGGGTCCCCGAAGGGCTGCCTGGAAGAAAGCCATCCTGTTTACCTGCACCCACCCTGTTTTTACATGAGAAGAAAAAAATGTATCACCTGATCTTTAAGACCTTGATATTTGGGAGTCTGTTACACAGTGTAGCTGACCCTAACTAATATCAGTGAGCTTGAGTATAGGTCATTACAACTTCAGAGCTGAAATGTAAACAGAAAAAAGAATGAAAGGAAAACAGGACAGGATAAGCAAGAGTTACTGGAGGATACCAAAGGTGTTGTTGTTGTGACCCCATGGACTGTAACCCGCCAGGCTCCTTGGTCCACAAGATTTCCCTGAGAGTACTGGAGTGGGCTGCCATTTCCTTCTCCAGGGGATCTTCCTGACTCAGGGATCGAACCTGCATCTCCTGCATTGGCAGGTGGATTCTTTACCACTGAACCACGCGGGAAGCCCATCCAAAGTGTAATTCAAGTGTAATTCATAATCGGATGAGCAGAGGGAGAAGAAAGCAAAAGAAGTAGTTGAGTTAGTAATGGCCAAGAACATTGTTAGGACTTCCCTGGTGGTTCAGATGGTAAAGAATCTGCTGCAGTGCAGAAGACTCGGGTTAGATCCCTGGGTTGGCATGTTCCCCTGGAGAAGGAAATGGCAACCCACGCCACTGTTCTTGCCTGGAGGAGAATTCCAAGGACTGAGGGCCCTGGCGGGCTACAGTCCATTGAGAGTCACAAGAGTTGGAAGTGACTGAGCAACTAACACTTTGACTTGTTGAAGAATGTTAGTAATGGCTGAATTAATAGTTGAACTGTGACCAAACCCCACAGATCTAGGAAGTTCAGAGAATACCAAGTGGGGTAAATGACAAGGAAAATACACCTGGGAAAATTAGATCCAAACTGCAGGAATCCAAAACCAAACAGAGAATC